TCACCAGCATCTATAGTCAGAGAAATACAGTAAATTGTAAAAAATCTTAAATAAATGATTTGATGTGAGCTGAAGAGACCTGTCTTCGAATATTTATAGATCGAATTCTTTTTTACATTCATATTAACAATAAATCGAGTCAATAATAATAATCGCCAATAATATACAATCAAAGATATAAAGAAAGGATACAACCCTGATTTTAATTCATGTATATATTATCGCTTTATTATCGCGTAACTAACTCAATTCAATTCAATTCTATTGAATATTTGATTCTATTTCCCCACCTTATTACGTAAAATATAATTGGAGCACTTCTCGCATATATAATTATTGAAGTTAAATTGAATCATGATGCTTCTAATTTCACTGTCAATAATAAGCACAATATTGATATGTATAAATATAACAAATATATACCCATTTACCCATTTTCACAAAATTGGTTATTCATTGAAGTCATTTGCTAGGCTCGCATAATTTTTAGGAAAAAGAATTCTATAGACCATTTCGAAATGAATTACTTAAAAAAAAAAAACTAATAAATTTACTTGATAAAATTTTTAATGCGTAAAACTTATTGTAAATATAAACCACGTATAATAATTATTGTTACATTAAACACCTAAATTTTAAGTAAATTCAACATACGTCAATAAAAATATAAAACAAAGATACATTGATACAGTGTATTTCATACTACAGTATATTTAAGATGGTTTGTTCTGATTCGTGAGTACTTAGTGTTAGGAACTTGGTATTAGGGAGAATTATTTAATTTTTTTCACACGTTAATTTACTAATTAGTCATATCTTTTAGTAGCCAAGATAATACGATGTTCATGAGAAGAGCGATATTCGTCCAACTCTTGTACTATTGTGTTAACCATATTCATCCATTCTTCATCCGTTATGCCCATAATTTGGGCTGATAATGGCTTCATTCCATTGGCCATTTCAGCTAAATTTGCTGTCCATATTTCAGTAATTCTGCCAAGTTTTTCATCCCATCTTAAAGGAAAAATTCTATTAATTAGAATCTAAATAGATATAGAAAAATAATAGATTTTTTTTTTAAAAAAGGAATACATACTTTCCAAGAGGCACATCCTTACAAATACAAGTTACATTTTGAAATCCTGCGTCTTTAATTGTTTGTTCAAGTTTTGAAGTAAATTGAAAATCCATTGCCCTTGTTTTTGAAGTTATTTCGACTAAAAATTAATATTTGATGAAAATGTAAATTGAATTTGACGTAATAAT